CCACTTGATTGATAGTTTTTAAGAATAAGTTGGAGAAAAATTTGCACATAATACCATAGGCCCGAGAATAGAACTTGCAAAAATACACAACTATATCATACTGATCCGTATAACATGTTCCAAACAAACATGAAGTGAACCCCAAATACAGCCACCGAAACTTTCAAACAATTTAATAAATTCTAAATCATTATAACTAATATTTTATTTTTAATGAAACAAAAAAATGACATTAATCTTTTTGTTAAAAAAATAATCATTTAGTGAAAATATATAATATAATTAAAAATAAATTTATAATTATAATAAATAAAATTATTATAGTCATAAAAAAATAATCATTTAGTGAAAATATATAATATAATTAAACAAATAAATTTGTAATTATAATAAATAAAATTAATGAGAAAGAGGATATATCTGCGCTATTAATCTTTATACATTTCATTAGATTTATACCAAGAAAATAAAAAAGTACTGAATCTAAACAGATTTTTTTTTTCTTTTTACTACCAAATTTACGGTTAACCTAGATTAAAAAATGATATAAAAATAATTAACAGTTAATACATAACGAAAATAATTTAAAAACCAAGAACTAATAAGATATAAAAATAAACTAATTAAAATTTAATTATGATATGTAATATAATTTGAGTTTAATGAAATGTTTTTTTACTGTGTTTATTGAAAAATTTAATAAAGATTTAATAATTAAGTAAAAGTTATAGAATAATTAAATATATTCAAATAAATAAAGAAGTCTATAAGTTTTGAAAGACGAAAAATCTATTGTCATATTGTTTTCTTTTACGTTTCATCAAACCTAAGGAAAAAAAGATGCACACACTAAATTTTCTTTCGATGTTAAGTAAATAAGATCAATTTTAGAATAATTATAAAAAAAAATTGTATAGTAAAAAATGAATAGTACATAAACCAAACAAAATTTTACAAAAAAGTTGAAAATAAAATAATAACACACAACAAATAAAGAAACAAAAGTCGAAACAAGCCACAATACACATAAATTCTATGCAAAACACATACATATAATATATGACATACAAAAATTTTGATATTAAAATTTTTAAAATTCGAAAGACTAAAAAAAAAATAATTAAAGATAATTAAAAATAATTATATAATTGTCTAACTACCTATATTTCATAATATATTATAATATTTATATATCAAAATAACATACAACATATATAACTAAAATTTCAACTAAAAACCTGGCCGTAGCCCGGGCCAGCCCTAGTAGTTCATATTGTTTGCTCTCAAGATTGTGAGACATCACTTTCGATGATATTGGTCGATTTTAAATAATTTATATATGTTTTTGAGAAACTATATTCTACCAAAGTATGCAAAGCATGCTTTATATTTTTTTTGTCTAGATTTATAAAGCACCATTGGCAAAAAAACATTGTACTAATATTAAAGTATATTAGATTACTTATATATCTGATTATATTTTTAAATAATAGTCATTTGGTTTATGATCCATTAGAAATTTAAAGAAATAATACACATTCACTTTTCAGTTTTGTACAGATAATAATGAGTTAAATGAGATACTACTATCCAAAATTCATATGTATCTCTTTCCGTACAATTATTACAAAGTTTTGAAGCACTAAATATTAATAAAAAACTAGAGTTTTTACCGTACGTTCGTACGGGTATATTTTTCATTTAAAATAATTATTTAATATTAATGTAAATATTATAAATATATAATCTATATTTTTATGTTATATATTGTGTAAATTTATAACTTAATTGGTGTAGGTTTTTATTTAACATTATTAATATATAATATTCTTTAATTTTTTACTTTGTTAATCAGAATTATTAATATAATTTTTTTTATATTTTTATATTTTCTCAACATATTATTTTTAATAAAAAATATTATATTTTCAGTTAAAAATATTTTTTACTAATATCTTCTGAATTATTAAAACTTTCTCATATCCTTTCTTTTTTAAATAACACATGAACTAAAATTTAGTTATATACTATTATATTTTTTTATATAATCATTTTAGATAATATGTTTTTGTGAGTTTTAAATTAAGTAAAATGTAAGATATTGTAAAAATTTAACATTATGCTACCATTTTTGTATAAAAAATATACATAATTTATGAAGTTAATCTTTTTAATGGTGAATATTTTTTTATTTAAGAGAAATAAATTTTGAAATAAAGTTTCATTTACCAACTTTATTTATTTTATTTAATTCATAGTGCAATTCTATTTTAATATAACATAGACTATAATGTGAAATTTATAAAATAGTATAGGATTCTTTTTTGTTTTGTTATTATAGTGAAATTTTAATTAATATTAATGTATAATTGTATGATATTATTAATTATGAAATTAATTATTATGTTATTTAATAAAAAAATATTTAAACTTTTAATAAGATTTTGTTACATTTTCTCTCAACCGATTCTGTTATAACTAAAATAAAATGTAAATCTATTATTTTCAGCATATATGATATATATTTGATTGATTAACCTAAATAATTTAATATGTCATACTAAGGGTCTGGCTGGTTCTCCCGCTATTACCCGTAAACGCAGCTTTTGCGGTTGGTAGCGGTTGTTGGTATTTTGCAACAATCACAGAAAACGCTATAAACCGCTTCAAATCGCTCTGAATCTCTAATATTCGAAAGTTGATTCCAGCTAGCGTTTGCGGTTGCGGACAATTGCGTGGGGAAAATTTATTTTTTTCCAGAAAAGTATATAAATATAAAAATAAAATATTCAATTAAAATTTTAAACTAAAATAATTGAAATACTGAAATATTTATATTATAAAATTTCCAAAAAAATACTTTCTTTCATTTCTAAAAATTTAATAGTGCATTTTTTCACTAAAAATTTTATATTTATCATGAAAATATGTTTTTAATATTTTGATAATTATATAAAATATAAATATTGTTAATTTATTACTTAACCGCTGTTGTATTTGATGATAAACCAGTCATAAGTATCCTACAAACGCAACAATTTTTAGCCGTTGAACCAGTCGTATAAATCTCTTACTAACGCTTAAAACCGCAATTTTCCATATCCGCAAACGCCCGCAACCGCAACCGCAATTGCTGTGTTGTAACCAGTCAGGCCTAAGTAATTAATGAATTGGTCCTATATATGACTTATAGGTAGATAAAAAAAAAAGATTATATTTTAATAGTGTAGATACTTACATGTAAAGGCTAACTAGATTTCGACCCATACTTTCACAGCGCGGGTTTTTGTTTGATGCAAATTTTATATAATCGCATTTCCTATACATGTAGAATGTGGGATAACTTGTTTAGTTCATTAATTTCATCAAACACTGTATTTTTAAAAATGCATGATAATCTTTCGGTGAAAATTTTATATGACCTCATTTTTTTTATATAAAGTAGACATGGGAACTTAACGTCTAAACTCAATCTAAAAAAATAAAATTGGATCCGCAACCGGTCAAAAACCTAAAATATATCAGAATGAGTTTTGTAGGATGGTAAATATATCCGAATCAAAGTGTTATTAGCCAGACCTGAACGAAGAACCAAAAAACCGAAAAATCTGGAAAAAAAAACTGAATCGATTTGAATGTCCAAATTAATCATAAATATAAATATTTGAAACATAAATACCTAGTATAAATATTCAGTTCTATATATATATATATATATATATATATATATATATATCTTAAAATGCTATTTAAAATTAATTATCTAAATTTCAAATAAGTACTTTAATATCCAATTCTATAAAAAATAAGAATCTTTTTTTTGTTTTGGTTTTAGATTTTAGATTTTCAAACCAATATAACCCGAATCCGAACGCTATAGGTTTACTTTATCAGTTTTAGGATGTGTAAAAATTAGAACCAAACCCGACGTGTTATATTTGAATTTGATCCATACTTACAAACATGTCTACTTACAAATTGTGACACCTATGATGTGATATAAATTAGCTTTAATTCCAAATATTCTGTATCCAAATATGTACTTTAATTCTCATGCATAACTAAATTATGTTTTATATTTTGTTAAATTAATTTTATATTTGATAAATATTTTGTCTGTTTATTGGAATAACCCGTAAAATTATAATCATAAAAATATCAATAATAACATGTTTCATCATATAATTAAATACTAATAGTAGCTATTATTAATATTTATTTTATAAATAATTATATATATAAACGATTTTATGACTTTATCTATGATAATTATATTATTATGTATTAGCGGAGGTTTGAAGAATTTCTTTATTATTATTTCGTGTATCAATTATATAATTAAATATTATTTTTTTATATCTTAATATTTTAATTTAGATATGTATATTAAAATATAAAATTATTTCTTTTTTTAATATCTTATGCTAGTATTTTGTTATTCTGTAAATGTAATTCTTTTAGTTACAAAAAAATAGAATTAAGTTATTGTATAATTATTATTTAGTGTAATTGGTAACTACAAATATGAAATATTTATATATAAATATTAGAGAAAGTTAGTTACTATTCTATAAATCAAAATGAGTTAATATTCATTTGTAATTTAATTTAATATTATTGCACGTTTTTATTATTAAATAATATTAAAACAGTAAATATTTATATTTAAAATGAAAATATATTAAAGATATTGTTAAAATGTAATATGAAAAAGTAGTTAAGAGTATCTTTTGATATATTATTTGAATACATTTAAGTATTATAGTAATATTATGTGTTTATTTAATAATAGTTAAGTTTGTTGTATGTAACATAACATAAAATTAAATAAATGTAATGTTTTGAGATAGACTACTTGCAAGTAGATAAAAAGTGTTTCTGTTTTAATAGTATTGATATATTTGCATGAATTATTAATATATACATTCATATATATTATATTATTTTTTGTAAAATGCCAAGGAAAAAATCAATAAAACAATTAAGCAACTAATAAGCGGCGGTAATCCACATTGATAAAATTCAAAAAAGTATAAATTTAAAAAATATGTAATATATATTTCCAGTAATATACATGAAATCTTCTAATCGGTAACTTAGTGTCATATATACCACATTAACATCGACAAACAAATATTGACGTTGTATAAATCCCCAAATCTAAGAAGATCAAGAAAAGACATTAAAGGCTTGACCAGTTCTAGCAACCTTGATGAAGACATCTTCAAGAGTTGTGTCTGCAAGCCCCCAGGCAAAGACCGTAAAGTTGCTCTTTGCCTTCTCCACAGCTTGAAACACCTCTGAGATCCGAACCTCCTCTTTAGGGAGCTCAAACTTCTGTGTCCCTGCGATGTGGTATATCTTCTTGGCGTTTGGGGAGACCTCTTGAATCAGCTTCTCCACGTTTCCCTCGTGTTCCGATGATGTTGTCATCGTAAACACATAGGATCCACCGTACCTTCCTTTCAGCTCTTTTGGGTTGCCAATGCATTGCAAGCTTCCGTCTACAAAAATACCCAACCGGTCACAAAGAAACTCTGCTTCTTCCATGGAATGAGTTGTGAGGATTATGGCAGTGTTTTGCTTTGCACGCTTGATGACAGTCCATAGGTTCTTTCTCGAAGCTGGATCAAGTCCTGTGCTTGGCTCATCCATATAAACCACCTTCAGAGGTAGAAAGAAAAATGAGGAAGGGTTTGTTAAGATTGAAACAACTTAGTGTACTACTTCTCAAGCTTAACTCAGACACCGTACCTTGGGATTCCCGATAAGTGAAATGGCAACACTCAGACGCCTTTTCATACCTCCACTGTATTTCCCAGCAGGTTTATCACCAACTCCTCCGTGGAAAAGGTTGACACTCCTAAGAGACTCTTCCACAGCCTAATGCAAGGTAAATAACGATATGATCATCCCTTTAAATTGATGATTTGGTAACTTATGGAGTATTACAGAAGCAAAACAAGATTGGTTACATACTTGGGTGAGATCAGAGCCCTTGAGATTCTTAAGTCTTCCATAAAACAACAGATGTTCCCTTCCTGTAAGCGTCTCCCAGAGCAAACTGATACACAGCAGATAATAAGAGAATTATAAAACAGCTATACTATTGCTGTCGATAGTCTAACAATGAGAAATTGCCACTTCTTGGCGAGGAATAAATGAAATGAATTTCAAGAACTCAATTACTCGTGCTGCGGGCATACGCCCATGCTGGTGTATACTCTGTCCATATCATTGCATATATCCAAACCTTGGACAAGCCCTGTTCCCGATGTTGGTTTCAGGAGTCCAGTCATCTGGTCAGGAAAAGAAAGTACATATTACTACAGTTACAGGATTAGAATCTAAACTAAATTAATGCACAGAAGTTTTTTCTCATTTGGGTACTGACCATATTGATGAATGAGGTTTTGCCAGCACCATTAGGCCCTAACATGCCAAAACATTCTCCTGAAGGCACAGCGAGAGATAATCCACGCACTGCCATTTTTGGTGGGTTCCCATCCCTTCCTGGATACACCTTCTTCAGATTGTCACAAACAATGGCATGGCTTGTGCTAGTCTCAAGCATCAACTTCTCAACTTTTTCTATCTGATTTGAACAATTTTATCTGTCAAAGCCTGAATAACCAAGAACATGCAATATATGGTGAATCCATTTGTCGTCATACCTCCTGAGTGACATCTGGTTTTTCCATTTCAACGAAGACTTTGGAGCCTTGTCTCTGCAGACTAGGCTTCCGCATAGAAGGGGACTTTTTGAAAGAGTTTTTCACGAAGAACAAGGGGTCTTTTCCGGATGAAACAATCTTATCGATATAATATGCTGCAATGAGTGCGAGAAACCACTCAATGATGATGATGTAGAAAACTTCATCCATTGCACTATCACTGAAATCTTTCCACTTCATCCCATCTGCCCCTCTCAAGTTTCCTTGGAAAGCAAATTGTGCGAACTCATACAGCCCACGGTATAAAGAGAAGCCAGGATACAACTCCATGAAAATAATCCAGCCTCCTACAAAAGTTTAATTGATTTGAAATTGTAGTAAGTTGTGAGAATAAACACATAAATGAGTGTATTAGACACCAAACTTACTAGGAAATGATGAATCTTGAATCAGAAACTGGAACAGAAACGTGCCCAAAAGTCCCGATCCAAACACGTATATGTAAGCAACAACTATAATTTAGACATAAGAGGAATCCCAATAAGTCCTTTAAACGCTCCAACATGTTCTTGATTGAATTCAAGTATTACGATTTTAGTACCTGTTGATGTCTTGACCTTTGAGAATATTGATGAAACTAGAAAGCAAAGGGCAATTTGCAGATTCACATAAAGAAAATATAAAACGAACTGGAGACTATAGTCATTAAGCCGAAAGAACTTGAGTCCTGCAAGAAAGCAGCAAATATAACAAGCTTAGAGAGTAGAAAATCTTTTGTATTAGAAAACATAATGTAAGAACTGTATTGACACAGCGAGGCTTCATGCAGTTACCTATTGCTGACCCAAATATCATCAAGCATATAAAATACAACGTGGATATGGTAAGAAAATAGGCGTAAGAAATCATCCAATATGGACCATCCCCTAGCCCATGCATCTTCATTATGATCCTTAGACGCTCCTGTTTCTCATACACCAATGAAGACAAGATCACCTGCATACAAATGGCAGTAAGTATTTAAGTTCATATGTTATACAGAATGCAGAATTCTTCTCATTTCCAAGATTTATAGATCGCTTATACAATAAGGTGAATATTTGTGGGTGAAAACCTAAGCTTGTAGTTTATGGTAAGCAAACTTACAGGGAACAGAAGAAGAATAACCCATGTGAAGAAAAGGGGACCAATTAGAGACGCGATGTCTAGACGAAGGCTGGTTTCTTGTTTAGGCATCTCTTTGACATATTCGAACAACATCTTTGTCCCTGAGCCTTGCAGAAACTGAAGGTAAGCATTTGAAACCTGCAGTTTTGGAAAAGTGTAAGCACCAGTACAATCATGAATGAAGTTTCACATGGAAAATCATGTCTCGAGTAAATCTTTATTTTTTTACCAAATTGACTGAGCGGGCAACTCGGACCAACGTTGAAGGCCTATTTCTTGAATTTTTTTTGTATGTTGAGTTATACCAGATATGCACATTGAAGTTGTTCCTATTTGTGTTCAAAAGATCGTATGCTGAAGGCAACAAGAAAGCAGACAGGAAGAGTCAGATATCTCATGTGCATATTAAAACATAAATGACAGAGAAGTTGAATAACAACCTGCAACAATCTCATTTGCTTTTCCCTCGGGATTTCCTTTTTTATAACCTTTGAATATCACATCATTGACCTCTTTGGAGTTATTTCGCCAGAGATTCAATCCTTGAACACATCTCAAGTCTGGTTTTTGAGAAAACCACTAAGTTAATCGACTGAAACAATGTCTCCTCAGAAAGAAAAATAGTATGTTTAAAAATTTTGGGATATGTATCTAAGAGCTAACATGTCTCCTTAATACCTTTCTGAAACTGGAGAGGTCCTAGTCCAAATGAGAATGGAAAGGCAGCGTTTGAAATGCACCGAGATTGAATACTGTAGATGGGAAGATCTGAGGCAATCCCTGGATCAAGATAATTGGTGAGCTCTGCCTCTATCTCTGTGCCCTGATAAAACGAGCTCATAAGACAAAGATGTACAAACTTCATAGTGGAAACAAACGAAGTTAAAACAGAACACTTACCAAGGCATTATAGGCTAAACCCTGCAAGAGATCAGAGGAGTTCACCGTTACAGAACTAGGTAGCAGATTCCCATACAAGCCTAGAGAACATATAAAGATTGTTAGTTCCGGAGAAAACAATAACATACCACGCCCGAAGGAGAAGACAAAGAAACATACTCGCTCCAAAGGAATGGTTACTCCCAGTAAAAAGAATAGTAACAGGACACGATCCGGTTCTTTTGCAAGATTCACTAGGTAGGCCTATCTCAGGGAGGAAACTGGCACGAACAGCCCGACTGTCAGGAGGTGGAACTTGTAACAAAGGAGGCCATTGGGGAGGATTAGGGATGGAACAAAAGAATGCTTGATCCGAAGACGAATACTCTATACCACAAGTCTTGTTTACGCACTTTCCATTTTCATTGGTGAGAGTGCATTGACAACCACATTGATTATCAGCAGAGTTAGTAATCTGAGAATCGAACAGAGCTTGAATTCCCACTAGAAGTACGCAGAGGTAGAAAGGGATCATGATGAGACGAATATTGCTCCATATGTTCCGTGTCTAACACAACACACACACAGTAGAATTAGAAGTATAGAATAGTAACAAAAAAAAATGTCATTTTAATTTAACAGAACGGTTTTGTTTTGGATTTAGGTTGTTAGTTTCTAAAATTACAGTTAGGTTCTTGCAATTAACATCAACGGTTGGTAGAAAAATCTGGGATTTTTCTTCTGATTTTCTTACAAAAACGTATGTCTTAATTACAATAAAAACATCTGTAGAGTTATGTCTGATATTTGATTGTACAAGTAATCCAACAGGTTCCCTAAAATAGCACGTTTTGTAATATCCAGTTACTCACATGAAGCGTTTCTACGTACGTACACGAAACGAAACGACACACCTATTATAAGTATCGAATATATACCTGATAGGATAAGTTTTTACGAAGCAAGGCATTGGCTCTCGTCGAGAAACTGGCGGGACCTGAATCCGCCATTGATGAAAGAGGAAGAAGGAGAAGATTCTGTTAATCTTCTCTCTGTTTACTCTTCGTATTCCTCGCCTAATTAACTGTTAGGCTTTTGGGTTAGTAAAATTGAATTCTGATTTGTCCAACTTTTTTAAAGGAAAGACAAACCACCGACCTTTTTGGTTCATATAGCAGGCGGAGCGAGAGGAGAACAGACACAGATACGAGAATACTAGATTACGTTTATACCCTTCACGCACGCGGTTTATGTTTTCCTTAAGTACACCTCAAATTTGTTACTTTATTTCAATTATAATAATATAACTAGATCATAACCCGCCCGACTGGGCGGGTCTTTATTTTTAAGGTATGTATAAATATTTTTAAAATTATAATCTTACGGTTCCAATTTTACTAAGTAATAGTATACTGTTTAAACCTTGTATTTCATCACTGTATTGTGTAACATGACGTCCGTAAAATGATGTGACTCGTAAATATTTTAGTAGTTTTCTATAAAGTTTTTTTGACTAAATTTGGTGCAAAGTTATATACACTAAACAATTTAGTCAAATTTTTAAATTCATTTTTTAATGAAGAATTGGAAGGCTAGTATATTATTGTTAAAAACTTATAACAATAGTATTTATAAATTCTATAAATAAAATATATATTATTCTTGATTTATTCCATATACATTTAAAACACGAGTACATATATGTATAAATAATTTTCAAAAATAAAGTAATATCAATGATAGAAAACCCAAAAACAATAATAATGGTATTTTGGGTCGCAGTAATTTTTAGTTTAATAAGTAAGCCCATTAGATTTGTAGGCTATCCTTGTTTCCAATCATCATAATTTTAAATACTTCCTATTCATGTTTCCAAACAATTAATTTTTTGTACTTCAGCTTTAATAGTATAGATACATCTTTAAATGGTTTAAATATACATTAAAAACTCTATAAATTATTAATGTTCAAATAATAATATTTAATTAATTTGTAAAAAATAATTTTTTTCACATATTTTTCTAAAAAAAAATATCTAATTTTAAATTCATATTCGTTTTATTATATTTTTGGTATATATATAATATAATTCATATTTATTTAGATGTGCTTTCAGAGATAATTCTATTATGAATATAAAATAAACAATATAATAATTTATTTGTGCTAACATAGTAACATGTATATAATAGTGGCTCAAGTATTATCTGACACCAGTTATCTATTTATTTTATCTTTTTGGTCAAACACTTGCACCAAAAAGAAAATCTCTTGGGTCAAACAACATACAAAGTGAGGAGATTTCAACAGAAATCAAGAAAGGGACCATAGAGACAATCTTCAATGTAAATTTTGCAGGAAGCTGCCTAAGAGTGTCCCACGACCAATAGATTCTCCAACTAGTGGAAGAGAGAGTTTCGATTACTTTTTATTATTGAACAAAGGTTTGATTGGTACATAATATCATAAATGTCGTCGTCACCTCCGACGTAATCATGTGTGAACGTACTGATTAAACAACAATTAGTTATATTTGCCTCACGTCAAAAGTTTCGGGCAATATGGTTGACTGTGATATATGACTATTTTAAAAAATATATATATTTCAAACAAATTTGTGTGGCAATTACTTGGACAAGAAGCAATGAATGACTTTATGGAAAGACAAACAAAAATGGAACTCTTTATGACGGAAAAGTCATGATTATTCCGTATGCACAGATATAGGCCTGGGCATTTTACCCGGACCCGAAGAACCGAACTGGAACCAACCCGAAAATACAGGTTCAGGTCCGGATCCGGGTCCATGCTAAAGTACCTGTTGGGTCTTTTTTATTTGGACCCGCGGGTCTTGGATCGGGTCCGGGTCCTACCCGAGACCCGTTTGGGTATCCGTAGTACCCGCAAATTATTGCATATATAAGTTATATTTAGTTGTTTATTTGTGATATTTCGGGTATTTTTAAAAATTTCGGGTTCGGGTTTTCGGGTCTAATTTTAGGTTTCGGGTAAAATTTTAGATTTTCAGAAAATAAAATTTGGGTATTTGGGTAAAATTTCGTGTATTTTTGGGTCTGATTTTTTATAATTTTCGGATATTTCGGCGGTTCCTCGGGTAATTTTTGGGTTTTCGGGTCTATTTTGGGTATTCGGGTCCTTTTCGGGTCCTAAATACCCGGATCCGAAATATACCCGAAAATTATGGATATTTTACGGGTATTGAAATTATAGACCCGAACCGACCCGGATCTGACAAGACCCGACCCGGACTCGACCCGAAAAATTATAGGTACCTATATGGATCCAAATTTTCAGGATCTGAAGGACCCGGACCCGACAAGACCCGACCCGAACCCGAACCGAGGACCTGGATGCCCAGGCCTACACAGATAATAACAAATTTAGAGACTTTGTAATTAACAGTCTCTCTCTCTCTTCTGTTTCCTCTCTAGAATCTGACACAGAGGAGAGAGAAAAGTTTGATCATTGGGGTTGGTGTCTCTGATCCGTTCGTTTTCTGACGATGCTCCATCTCTTTCGGAAGTCATCCGGTTTTGCCTCCGCCATCTTCGCTTGCTCTTCGGGTGAAGAATATCCAACTTTATTTTCTGGCAGTTTCACATTTCTCTGACGGAATCGGTTCGGCTTAGGTCTCCATGGAGGGGTATGTCTTCATCTTCTTCGCCGGGTGTTTCTTCGAGATTTTATCGGTTCTATTTATTCGCCACTTCTCGTTTTCTCTGCTCTACCGACTCTCGATTTCATTCTTTGATGTTGAAGACCTGAGTTCTTTGAGATCGATCGAAGACGGTGCCTTTCCCGGAAGTGAGCCGTAAAATCTTCAGTTGGTATGAAGACAACTTTTTTAGTTTCACTATGTCGCCGCCGTGGGAGAGATACGGCGAGGCTCGTTTGCGAAGCAGATGTGATTTGGTGTATTGGCGCGTGTTCCAGGTGACACGTATTGGTCGTACACGTGGTGGTGTGTGAAGATTTTGCTTCCTTGACGAGTTTTCTCTGGTGGGCCATAGATCTATGGCCCATAAAGTTTTATTGTTGGCATGTTTGTTATGGACTTTGTCTTTTTTTGTTTGTTTGTGGAAATTATGTTCAATAGTTAGGCCTGATCAGTTAGTCTTTTTGTTGTTTGTTTAACGGGTTTGGTCTAGTTGGAGAGAACACGTTTGTGGAAACTATGCAGCTTATGTTGGATCAAATAATAAAGCCCAATGGCTTTATTTGAATATGAATAAGAAGTGATGTGGCCTAATTGTTATTAAACAAATCAAGTCATATAGTAAGTGATTTGTTCCACATCGGTGGAGAAGGGAGAAACATAGTTGTGTATATATGTTCCCATGATATCATGGGTTAAACAGCTCAGTGGAAGAGAGGATTTTTCATGCATGCACTGTCGCTGCTGTCCGGTTGGCTCAGACTTGGTCTTGGCCTTGCATAGGGTTTCTGGCTCTATAAGAAGATTATTTTTGGACCAAATTAAGTTTAATATTTTTCCATTTAAATTCTATAAAACAGCATGATGTTTGTATTAAAACGATGTGTAGTTTGTCTTAGAAACAACATGCATATCATCTGTTTGTCCAAAATATATTTTAAACGTAATAAGATCTTGGGCAGAAAGTTTCGTAATTCAATTTCCCGGATCTCCACGAGATTGGGAAGTGGCTCTCCTCCTTCTCGTTAAACAAATACGACTCTTCTTTTTCTTCATTCTTTAATGTTTTTTCACAAGCGAAACCAGCAATTCTCCCAGAATAAGTTTAGAAAGTGTTTCGTAGATTATTAGTTTGTAGAGACGTTCACGAGTGAAACGTGAATCGGCTATTATGGTTGTATCTTGGGACTCTAATTCGTACATGTCTGTTTTACTACGGGGCGAATATTAAGAGTTCAGGAAAGAGATACGTCTCGACTCCATGGTCAATATTGTAAATCGTTTTTTTTTTCTATTCGCCTTTCCGATTGTTTATTTCCTTAACATGCATCGTTTTATTTATATCGTTTCTGTCAATTCGGTTTTCTGGCTTTGACAGTCTTAACTCTTAATTGCTTATATTATATATAAGCTTTAATCGGATTGATTTATTACGATTTTATAAACGGTTCTTCAAGGATTTATTAAACTGTTTGGTTTTATTATGAAAAAGGTTTGCGATTTGCTATTATCTCCGCGAAACATTTCTTGTTTTTAATATAAACGGTTTTGCGGTTTGCTTTTAGCACTTCTGTGAAACATTTTTCGTACATGATTATTAAAAGGTTATAAAAACGATTTGTTTCCACGAACGCTTCAAAAGCAAATTTGTGAAACAATCAAAACGCCTATACAGCAGTTTCTGCTAACGCTTTTAGCGAGTTTGCAAACGGATCTTGGCTTATCGATCATATATGGTGATTAAGAACGCTCTTGAGCGATTTTTAGTAAATCCAAACGAATATTATTATGCGGTTATACACTTATTTTATATAAATAATTTGTTGTTTCATATCGGTGTACTGATATACATTATCTCGTTTTCTGTTTTTTTCTTCATAAACATGACTACCGAAACCAACAACAACACCATTGATGATCGAACCGCACTCAACGTTGCAGCAACTGATCCAACTGTTGATGCAACAACAACCACTGCAACAATGACACCTACATTACCAGTGGGTAATGTTGCTGATGAAACCACACGCAGTAGCTTGTTCGGGGTTGGTCTTTATCAAACGCCTCCATTTCAAGGATCCACTAGTGCTCCGGCTGCAGTTGCGACTCTTCCGGCTGTTCCGGCAGAAGAAGATGATGTTCTTCCTCACAATGTGCAAGCTGGACAAATTCATCTAGGAGGATAAGCCCATTATCCCTCACGGGATTGAAGATATACACACATTTGCAAGTCTTGAAATTTGGGTGCATTCTGATTTTATCGGCAAAAACTACATTTTGGGTCGCTTCATTGACCCATTGTACCAAGTCTATCGTGAGATTCCAACGGCTAAAGAGCTCTGGAAATCACTGGACAAGAAGTACATAGGTGAAGACGCTAGCTGCCAGAAGTATGTCGTTGCAAAATTCCATGACTTCAAAATGGTGGATTCAAAATCCATCATGGAT